AACTCTATGTGGATCTCATGCTGCAATCTCTACCATCGTCATTTGACAGCTTTGTTTAACTTTAACATGCATAATATGGAGACTTCTCTACCAGAATTAGTGAACATGTTAAAGACGGCTGAATCCACAATCAAGAAGGATAAGCCGGTGCTTCTTGTTGGATCCACTTCTGGATCAAAGGATTTAAAATCTATGAAAAGGAAGGGGAAGGGAAAGGTTCCCAAAAAACCCAACAAGAAGGCAAATAACAACAAAGGGAAGAACAAAGAGAAGGTTAATTCTCAGTCTAATCATGAATGCTATCATTGTGGTAAAACTGGTCATTGGAAGAGGAACTGCAAGGAGTATCTTGCAAGCCTGAAAAGTTCAGGTATTTATTTTGTTGAAGTTAACTTATCAGTTAATGATTCTTCTTGGGTATTGGATACCGGTTGTGGCTCACATATTTGTAATGATTTGCAGATGATGGCAAGAAGTAATAAGCTAGAAGATGGAGAAACAATCCTAAGGATGGGCAATGGAGCAAAAGTTGCTGCCAAAGCAATTGGGACTGTTTATCTAGCTTTAAATAATGATGTAAAAATTTGTCTTATAAATTGTTTGTATGTTCCGAATGGATGTTATAAGAAACATTATTTCTATTCCAGTAATGGATAGAGAAGGTTTTAAGTTTGTTATTGAGAATGGAAGATGTTTCATTTTCAAAGATACAACTTTTTTATATTCCGGAAATTTGACAAATGGGTTATATACCATTACACCACAAAGTCTCATCCTAACAATTCAACAAAATAAAAGAAAATTAGATAATCATAGTTTATTCACACTTTGGCATGCTCGATTAGGTCATATATCTGAAAAGAGGATTCACAAATTGGGACCAAAACTCGACCTTAGGGGAGAGGAAAGGTTGCCTACTTGTGAGTCATGTCTTAAAGGTAAAATGACAAAATCACCATTTGTTGGACAAGTGGAGCGAGCTAAAGGTCTGTTGGATTTGATCCATACAGATGTTTGTCGACCACAAAATGTTAGTGCCAAGAGGAACTACTACTATTTCATAACTTTTACTGATGATTATTCACGGTATGGTTATGTAT